ATTTCTCCAATGCATGCAGGCTCGGAGTAATTGGTGTCTGCAACATCCAAAGGGTCTTCATCTACTTTCATTTTTGGTTTGTCAGCGAATTTCAATCTGCCATCCTTAATTGCATTTTGAATCAGATCCCTGAAAAGAAAACACTGTGAGGTTTTGTGGCCTAGGAAACTGTGATACTTACAAAATCCTCTTTTATTTCGTTGATCTAAAGGAGGTATTTTGACATTCGATGGCACAATTAGTTGGCCATCTTTGACAAGCAGATCAAAAATTTCATCACATTTCGTTACATCGAAGGTATAAACCTTCTTTAGGAACTTGTCACTTTTCTCATTTTCAATAATTTCTTTCCCTTTTGTGGGAACTAGTAATTTACAGGAATAAGGGGGAGCCTGTTTCAATTCAGCGAGATCAATTTCGACCTCTTAGAATTCAGGGTAATCTTCTGCTTCCTCAGTTCCAACATAGGAGAACCTTTCTTTCTTGTTACTTTTAAAAACTCTGGCCTTCTCGGCTTTTAGTCTTTCGACTTGTCGAACCCTGTCTGCTAGTTGGGCCATATCCCTCAGGTGTTGTGTATCTAATTTCTTTCGAATGGAGTAGTCTAGGCCACCAGCAGCCATTTCGACTAACTCATGTTCAGGAACTACTGTGAAACATCTAGATTTCAAGAGTCTGAACCTATTCAGATAATCATTTATGGGTTCAGTAAACTTCCTCTTGACACTGGCTAACTCTTTCAGGCTTATTTTAGATTGTCCCATGTAGAATTGTTCATGAAATAACCTCTCCAACAGAGCCCAAGTATCTATGGATCCAGGAGGCAAAGTGGTGAACCATGTGAAAGCGTTTTTAGTTAAGGAACTTGGGAAATATTTAATCCTAAGGTCTTCATTGTTTGCTATATCTCCTGCTTCAGTTAGATACCTGGCTATGTGTTCGACTGTTGACTCATTGGTGTCTCCAGCGAACTTTGTAAATTTAGGGACTTTATATCCCCTTGGTAAATCAGTGTGCATCACATAATCTATTATGGGAGAAGAATAGTTGGGTCTTCTAATACCTGTATTGAGACCGTTTTGAGCCATAATCCTTTCTATCATGGTGGTTAAATTATTTTCTGCCAAGATGTTGTCATTTCGAATTCTATGAACGACTTCATCAGCATTTTGGTGTCGACCCACCATGACAACTCCTCTAAGTTGTTCTTCTCAAAACGCTGGGACTTCTAGCCTTTCGACCTTTGCCCCTGGTTCTATAATTCCCCTTTGTGGTTCCTCTCGAATCACTGGGGCATCTAACCTTTGTGCTCTTGCCCCCAAATTAACCCCCTCTCTGGCTGGTCTATAGGGTGGGTCATCAGCAATTTGCTCTATGATGGGCATGTTCGCTCGAACCCCCACCTGATTCTGCCTACGCCTTTCTGGCAGAGCGAAAAAATCTGTTATTCGACTCATGTTATCCGCGTTTTCTCTGTTTGTCACAGTTACATTTTGTACTATTGGGGCAAAGATTTCTTACATAGTCTGCGCTAACACTCCTATCATATTATGGTTACTATCATCCATTAATTGCCTAAAGGCCAACTGATTTTCTGTGGTTAAGATGGGCAATGCACTATAACCTACTGACCCTTGGTTATTTGTCATAAATTGATTAGCCCCAGATCCAGACCCTAATTGTGGTGACGTATTCGATGTGGAATTGTGTAAACCTGCCATAAAAGATGTTGGCATTCCATAAGAGGGATTTTTGTGTCTGTTACCATCGAAACCGGGTGGTCTAGTTAGTGGGGTGGCAAAATGGGTTTGTGTCCCTGATGGTGGGACGAATCCCCCAGGATAACCAGTGGTTCCTGTATTTCCTAGGATCGAACTGTTAGTCGACATGCCACTTGTTCCATTCGTGGCTACACTACTGGTAGAGGATGCAACAGACTGTGCGCTCGAAGGGATCGCATTAGACGTTCCCGTCGAAGCAGACATATTAGTGCCTGTTCCATGTGGGGCATTTTGTTCCCCTTGTTGATTGTTTGGATCAGACATCTTGTTATTACGTTTTCTTTTGGGTAAGGGTTGGTTGTTATTGGTTATTCTACCACTTCTAAGGTTCATATAACAACGAACTTATCACTTAGAAAGAAATTTTACAATGATTATATCCTAACAATCTTTACTTTGTTTTAAATTTCGTAACGACCAATGACGGTCCCACTGGGTGTGCCAATTTGTTTACAGTGATTTCTGGTAAACAACCGCTAGTCCTCCAAACTATCAAATAATCTTAATGACTGTTATTTAATCTCTCTGGTAACTTGCAGGATCGACTAGATTGATCCTATGGGGTATTGGTCGTTTGGATAAATCTAATTGCAGAGCTGATATTCATAGTTAGGATTTGTGTTTAGAATGTTTTATAGACGTTCAATTCACTTCGATTACCATGTTAAAAAGATCTAATGACATGATCAAGTAAAGAAATACGAAACTGAATTGAATGAATAAAGATTCGATTGCAAAGAAAAGCGTTTAAATGTAAGAAATAAGTAAATGACTTTGAATGTAAAGATTTTGATGTGAAAAGCATGAATATAAAAGCATGAAATGTAAAAGAGTTTCTGAAATGTAAAGGATTTCGAATAGAAGAAAAACGTTTAAATGCAAGCAATAAGTAAATGACTTTGAATGTAAAGGTATTTGAATGACATTGACATGAAAATGGAAGATAAACTGGAAAAGATAAAGAGTTTTACTGAATTATGAATGTTTGGTGTTATCATACGTATATTGTTTGAGCATTCGTTTCCCTATCCATGTGGTATTTTGAATGTTTACTGAATTTTGTACAATAGATATGACACACGAAATCCTAATACTAAGACTTCTATTTATACTACTTCGACCATAACGGTCTTGCTTATAAGATTCTGCCACGTTTGAAACATGCAGAGCACTGCTCCTCTCTAGCTTCCACGCGTCTTCGAACGCTCCAGCGCATATATATTTGAATTCCAACATCCCGCTCGCGTTTGAATTTCAAATGCCTTGGCAATCTTCGCTTCGAACTCATTTCACAGACACAATCTCGTTACCACTTCGAGGCTTTTTAAATATATCTTCACAACTGTCACTCGAAGCTCCGAGCTTTGACATGTCCGTTCGAAGAACCGCTTCTACCAATCCGAACTGTAACATTTTGCTTTATTCCAACGAAACATCCATATTGCTTCATTTCGAACCGTATCATCAAAATCTTCAGCCAACACCCCCATATTTCACTTCTTCTGTACCTTCTCCTTAATGTCCTTAATTTTCATTCTAGGGTTGGTTTTAAGTGAATTATGCAACCTCTTGCTCAGCCATTTAATCTTCATCAACTTCACATTATATTCTCTACTACAACTATGAGTGTCTACTACCTTTCTTAGTTGTTAAGAATCCTTAGTAGACAATTTAGCACAATAAGATTCTCATTTACATCCTTCCTTACACCTAACCCCAATCATGGTCTTGTCATTTTTAATGAACTTTAAATTTCTTCCAGATTGTACTGCATAAGAGGTAATAGCTTCCTTGAAATTTTCTATTGTAGTAAAGTAGGTTCCCACTTCTCATTTGTAATTGGACATATCCTTTTGAAGCTTGAAAATTGGATACTTATTTCTTCTAACTCTATTGTTATCATCACTATCACAACCACTTCCTAGATCATCACTTTCATTATCTCTTCCTCTTCCAATTTAGTGTCATACTCATCAGAGTCATCATCAAATACTACCTCCATTACACTATCATAATTGAAGGTGTTATCATCAGCCTCACGAGACCTATGTCCAATATCATCATTTTCAACCTTAGCAATCATTGGCCCATTATCATTAGTTCATACTGCATGAACACCATCTTCCCTAACATCATCTTCCCCAACACCATCCATGCTAACATCATCTTCCCTTACATCAGTTTTATTCAATATCTCCTCAAGCACAACTTCAGCCTCATCAACTATCACATTAAGGGATACCTCATCTAACACAACTTCAGTCTCATCAGCATAATCAGGCTTTGACAACGTATGTTGAATAAAGACTTCAACACTAAGATGAACCTTATATAGATAAACAATCTCTAATGCCCCCTTGTCATCAACCAACATATTCATCCTAACAGTAAGATCCTTATAATATATATTCTCCACGTCTGCGTAACCTAGCTCTTTATATCACCTATCAATTCAAAATAGCTCCACTTATCAGCATCTACTCTCAAATCAACAATCTCACCTCCTTCCTAAACACTCATATCCTCAGTATCAAGTTCACCACTATGGTGTATTGTAATATTCAGATATTCCTCCATTTCAGACTATGCCCTAAATAGACACGAAGAGATTAGATTTCAGAAAGATTGATTTCAAAAAATCGTAACTACGAAAATTATAATTTTGAAGAAACTTACCTATGATGAGTTGTGTTGTGGTCGCTTTCACCTTCAAGAACGGAATATACTTTCGCTTCGCTCGCAGCTTCTTCGCAGAATAGAGCATGCCAACAATGGCTGCGCTAGGATTAACTTCAAGTGTTGGAGATGTGTTCTGATACTTTAACTCATTTGCTTTTCTATTTTAGTTTTAAGATACTTTAATCCACCTGGACAGAAATATAAACACGTTAAATGCCACATATATGTCACATAAGCGCTATCATTGACTTTAACTAACGGTTCAGACGAAAAGGATAAACGTGGTCATTTTTTAATAATTAAAAAATTATTTTAAAATTATTTAAAAATAAAAGACCAAAATAGACTCCTAAGTAAAATTAAGAGGTTAAAAACAATATTTGGCCTATTTTAAAACATCACTCGTATATCTAAATAATAGAAGTGATGAGTGCAGAAAGATAGATGAGTTGTATTCTATCTTATTCCATTATTATAGCTCTTTGTTCTGCATTTGTGGTTTTGTATAATCGTTGACTTGATTGAAAATCAATCGAAACAATGTCTTTCTCCTCCGATCATCCATGGATCTACGACGTGTTCATAAACTTCAGAGGAGAAGAAACTCGTCACAACATCGTTTCTCATCTCTATGTTGCACTCTCAAATGCGGGAATCAACACTTTTCTTGACAACAAGAATCTTACAAAGGGAGAGGAGCTAGGACCAGAACTGATGAGGGCAATAGAGGGCTCTAAGATTTCTATTGTTGTTTTATCAGTCAACTATACAAATTCTAGCTGGTGTCTTAACGAGCTGTTACATATCATGGAATGCCGCAAAAAGTATGGCCAGATCGTTTTACCCGTATTTTACGGTATTGACCCATCGTAAAGCAGGAGATTCATAGCGTTGCATCCGGGATAACTAAGATCGAGACAAGACTTCGGGGGCAAAAGGCTTTTGTCATACTCGATGATGTGACCGAGTCGGAGCAATTAAAAGCTTTGTTTGGAAATCCTAAGTTGTTTGGTTCAGGAAGTGTATTGATTATTACAACTAGAGATGTACGCCTTCTCAATTCACTCAGTGCTGACCATGTCTTCACAATGACGGAAATGGACGACAACCAGTCTCTTGAACTTTTCAGCTGGCATGCTTTTCGACAACCAAGTCCTAGAGAAGATTTTAGTGAACTCTCTAGAAATGTAGTTGCTTATTGTGGAGGATTACCATTGGCTCTTGAAGTCCTTGGATCTTACTTATTTGAGAGGACGGAAAAGGAATGGAAAAGTGCTCTATCAAAATTAGAGAAAATTCCCAACAATCATGTGCTACAGAAATTGAGAATCAGTTATGATGGTCTAAAAGATTATAAGGAAAAGGATATATTTCTTGACATATGTTGTTTCTTCATTGGAAAAAACAGAGCTGATGTTACAGAGATACTTAATGGCTGTGGACTTCATGCTGATATTGGAATAGCTGTCCTCATAGAGCGCAGCCTCGTAAAAGTTGCAAAGAATAACAAGCTTCAAATGCATGATTTGCTAAGAGACATGGGTAGAGCAATAGTTGGCGAAAGTTCAGCAAAAGAGCCTGCAAAGCATAGTCGACTGTGGTTTCAAGAGGATGTGTTGGATGTTTTGTCAAAAAATATTGTAAGAACTCTTGAGCATCCTCTATAAATTTATCAAGATCACAAGCAGGGGCGGATCCAGACATTATATATTAGTGGGACTAAACATGAAATAAACTACAAACTAAATCATATTGAAAATAAAAAATAATATTTACTGCAATATATTATAACGAAAATCGTCTACTATCCATTTCTTTAAAATGAGCTAAAATAACATCATTGTTAATTATTCCAAGAACATCTCTTTCTATAAAAGTTACAAGACGGTCATTTAACCACTAATCACTCATAATGATGGAAATTAGAAACATTAAAAGTTGTAGGTGTCGCCTAGGTTTTTTCCCTTTCACATACGGTGCATTCATATTAGGTACATCAATATCATGCTTATTGCAAATTTCCATAACCTTAAATACAAGTTCTTCCCATCCATCATTCCTCATTTCTTGTAATTCTTATTTGGTAGCATTAACAAGTGACAAAGCATTCAAAAGATCTTGATCACGCTTTTGTAACGCTACACTCAAATCATTTGTAAATCCTAAAATCTCAACCATCATATATAACACGAAGATAAATAAAAAGATTGAAGCACATCTAACAAAAGTATAGTTTCACCATATTTTTCAAATGACGTATCATTCCCAACTTCTTCAAGTACCCCAATAATAGCACCATACAAAGTCATCAAACTAGTGAGAGTCCTAAAATGGGAGCCTCAACGAGTGTCACCTGTTCTAGCAATATATGATTCTTGATTTAATCTACTATCAATCTCTATTTGGCCCTCTTCAATCAATTTAGAAAATTGAGTTACTTGTTTGTCTCAAAGCAATTCATGTCTCTTGTTAGAAGATTGTATAAAATTAACAAGCATATTAACTATACCGAAAAAACCAATAACATCTTTGTGAATCTTAGCACATGCAACAAGTGCCAATTGAAGTTGATGGGCAAAACAATGCACATAGCAAGCAGATGGATTCTCATTTTGGATTAAAGTTCTCAAACCACCAAACTTACCTCTCATATTGCTAGCTTTGTCATACCCTTGCCCCATAATGCTAGATAAACTCAAGCCATTAATAGACAGCAACTTCTCAAGTGCATCCTTAAGTGACTTAGCACTTATTTCTTTAACACTAACAATGCCAAGAAACCTTTCTTTTACCAAACCTTCACTATTTGCATAGCAAATAACAACGACCATTTGTTCTTTACCAGCAACATCACCAGATTCATCAATCAAAACAAAAAAACACACCATCTGCAATATCACATATAATTTGTTGATTTATTTCACAAGCACAAGCAGCGGCAAGATCCTTTTGAATCTTAGGGACAATCATTAGGTTATTTCCTGAAGCACAATCTATTACATTATCTATCTCTGGGTTAATTTCCTTTAGTGATTACTCATTACTAATAAATTATTAGGGGGGAATGAGAGATTAGCAATGAGAGGGAGAGTGAAATATTAGAGAAGTTTGATAGAGAGTGTGTGTGTGAGAGAAAAATTAGTGGTTACTCATTACTATTACAATATTATGTGAAAGAGAGAATTAAGAATTTTAATTTTTTGTACAGCTTAATCTCTCTTTATATATATAATATAAAAAAAAAGAAATTTTTTAGTGTATATAGTATACACGTAACATTATGTTTGTCGTCGAAGTTAACGTTGCAGTGTAAGACATTAATATGGTGAAAATATATCAATAATTTTAATTTTGTTCAAGTACCCCAATAGTGTATATAGGTTACTGTTATGTGAGAGAGATCAATAGTTTTAATTTTGTTTTCATTTACAACTTAATATCACTATATAGTATACAAAAAAATTAAAAATTATGGTGGGGCTTTAGCCACACCTAGCCTCTACATGTGTCCGCCCCGGATCACAAGACTCTTTTTTTTTTTGTTTCAAGACTAGTTTTGCGCTCCATAAATGTTAGCTGAAATTATTTGAATTTGCATTCAGGTGTTGGTTTTTACTATGTTGTACTGACGCAAACACAATATTTTACACTAACACGTCGACAATGAAAATAAATAGAGAATAAATAAATAATTGAATATTATCACGGTATTGTCTGACACTAATGTGTGTCGGATACAAAACACAATCTTAATATGAAGTGTCGGTTCTACCTAGCTTTCTGCAAGCAAGACACATGATTAACATTTTTCCTTAGTTTTCTCAGCTTTTTTACTTCACATGCAGGGAACAGAAACTGTTGAAGGATTGATTTTGAAGTTGCATAGAACTGGCAGAATTTGCTTCAGTACTAATGCTTTTCAGGAGATGAAAAAACTGAGGCTTTTAAAACTTGATGGTACTGACCTCAAAGGAGATTATGGATTAATTTCCAAACAATTGAGATGGGTTGATTGGCAACGATCTACCTTCAAATTTATACCCAATGGCTTTGATATGGGAAATCTAGTTGTTTTGGAATTAAAATATAGCAGTGTTGAACAAGTTTGGCGGGAGACCAAGGTATAGTGATATTTTCTTTTTAAATCAAAGGTTGATGACAATTAGATTTGTCGCCTCCTTTTCACTTCCCATTTTCTTCTCTTTTTTTTTTCTTTCTTTTTAATAAATATTTTCTTGTAGTTGTTGGAGAAGCTAAAAGTTCTTAATCTCAGTCATTCCAAGTACTTGAAAAGAACTCCGGACTTTTCAAAATTACCGAATTTAGAAAAGCTCATCATGAAGGATTGTCCAAGTTTGTCTGAGGTACACCAGTCCATTGGAGATCTCAAGAATCTTCTTTTGATAAATTTTAAGGACTGTACAAGTCTTTGTAATCTCCCAAGAGAGATCTATCAAATGATATCAGTGAAAACTCTCATCCTGTCCGGCTGTTCAAAGATTTGACAAGTTGGAAGAAGACGTGGGGCAGATGGAATCCTTGACAACTCTAATTGCAGCAAATACTGGTATCAAGAAAATTCCTTTTTCAATAGTAAGATTAAAAAGTATTGGATATATATCACTATGTGAATATGAAGGATTATGGCATGATGTTTTTCCTTCTCTCATTTGGTCATGGATTTCACCAACCAGAGATTTCATTCCCCATGTTTTTCCATTTGGAGGCAACTCATTGTCTCATGTTTCATGGGATGTAGATAGTATTATGGACTATCATTCACCAATTCTTAGATGTGTTTGGGTTCAATGCCAGTCCGAAACTCAACTAACTCAAGAATTACAAAAGTTTGTCGATTATCTATATGATGTGAATTTTACTAAGTTGGAACACGGACCAAACACCTCAGATCATTCCTTGAGATCACTTGTGATTGGAATGGGAAATACCGAAATAATCATGGATACTCTTGGGAAGAGCTTATCACAGGTCCCTACTCTATCTTTTCACCTTTACCAATATTTATTAATAACTAAGAGAACATGGAATGATTTTCCTTAATTCTTTAAATGGTAGTTTAAAGTTTCTGAATGTGACAAAAAATTTATACAGTTTTATACCTGTTTATTTGTTTAATGTCTATATTTGACACATAAAAGATGTTTAGCTATAAAAGGATAGTTGAATAATTGCTGAAGCATATACATACGAGTTAATGTCCTTTAGATATCAGAATAATTAAATCATATTATTGTTTATGTGAAATATATATTGGATCTATAGCAAAATACAAAAGCACTATATTCAACAGTAGTTTTTATAAATACTGAGATTTAGTATATGTTGTTTCTTTCCTCTCTACATTATTAGGAATCCATAACAGTCAGCTAAAAGTTAATGTAATAGAACCCTTCATCAGAAAACATGTATCTGTTACGATTTGTTACTGTGAAAGCTGCCTATATTGCCTGGTTTCATTTGATATAACTAACCATTTGTTCATGATACAGGGATTGGCAGCCAGTTCTATTGATTCTTTTCTTCCGGGCGACAATTATCCTTCTTGGTTAGCCTATACATGTGAAGGATCTTCAGTAATTTTCCAAGTGCCTGAGGATAATGATTGCGGCATGAGTGGAATAAGCTTATGCGCTCTTTATTCATCAATGCCTGGAAACCTGATAACAGAATGTCTCACTAGTATCTTGATCATTAATTACACAAAATTAACTATCCAGATTTACAAGCGAGACACAGTAATGTCATTTAACGATGAAGATTGGCAAGGTGTGGTATCAAATTTAGGAGTTGGTGACAAGGTTGAGATATTTGTAGCTATTGGGCATGGATTGACTGTTAAGGGATGACTGTTTATCTAATATATCATCAGTCAACTGCAATGGAAATTAAGCCAATACCTGAAGTGGAGGTGCAGACATCACCTGATGTGAAAATGGATCCATTCCCTAAGAAAAATAGAAAAATATTTGTAAGACTTGCAATGAGAGTGGGAGAATTTTATGTATGAACCAAAATTGAGATCTCAACGATTTTTCATATTTCATATGGAATGCCCTTTATCCATTCCAAAATTGAGAATGTTTTTATTATTTATATAGGAAATTTCTGTGATATTGATTGATGTAACGCGGTGGAAGAACTTGCGTTTGATCGCAATTGTTGTCGATAATAAGAGTCGTCACCGACTTTTCTTTTATCCAATAAGGAAAAGCGGAAAAGAACAGGAAGACCTTTCAAGATCATTTCTTGAGTTCGGGGGTAGGTTATGAAAACGGAAGGTGTTAACACCCTTTTCATCCGTAGTTATCTACGGGCTCTTAGTTGCTTGCTAGATCACTTGCTTTTTGTTTGAAAGTATGTTTGTGATGTGAATTTTGAAATTATTTTGAAAATGTCTTTGTAATGGTTCTCGTTTCTATAAGAACGCGTACAAAGTGTTGTTTGGAAAATAATTCAAAGAGGTGTTTGTGAAATGTGTTTTTGAAAGTGATTTTGAAAATGTGTCTTTATAATGACTCTCGTTTCTATAAGAACGCGTACAAAGTGTTTGTCTTTTGAAAATGTTTCAAAGTGAGAGTGTTGGTGTATAAAATGTCTTTGTTGTGAGCAAACGAGCAACTAGGAGCAACCTACCTACTCAAAAGGTCTTAAATGTTCTTTTCCTCCTCTTTTAGATGTTGTCATCTTACCATTGTTTCGGTAAGAAGCCCCATCATTGGGTGTGAAGGGACGGGCGCGGGTCAATCGTACAGTCATAGAAGGCAACTTGTGAGACGCTTTAGCAATTTTCGTAAGGGACTATATCGTTTTACCGAAGGCAACATCGAGGGACTACGATCTTTTTATCGAAGGGTCTTTCCTAAAGCGTCCCATATTCGAGAGACATGACTGTTTTTTCAAGGCAACAAATGGAATTACCCTAAGGGTGCATGTGTGAATAGTGTGTTTGATTTGCATGCATTTTGTCTTTGGTTAGGGGTTATCTATTTGTTGATTTTATCTTGTCATACATACCCTATCTTACTAGCAATTATATGAAAAGCGGTAAACTTGCGGAAATTAAAATCCTACGCTATTATATCATTAGGGGGATGAGGATACAGTTTGCAAATGGGGATGAAATAAGTGTCTAATTATTACAACCATATTGAATAAGTGGATAGTAATGGAGTATATATATATATATATATATATATATATATATATATATATATATATATATATATATATATATATATATATATATATATATATATATATATATATATATATATATATATATATATATATATATATATATATATATATATATATATATATATATATATATAATACAGAAACAGTGTAAAAAGAAGGAAAAACTGCATTTTGAACTATTATGTGTCGACACATACTGTTATGCATCGACACATAATTTTCCTTGTCCCTATCAAACTAAATCAACTCAGTATGAGTCGACGCATAATGGGATGTGTCGACTCATTTCCTGCTTGTGTCGACACATACGTATTTTGTGTCGACTCATGCACCTTCCATCTTTCTGTTTTAGGCCATGGATAGCAGTATGAGTCGATACATACGACCACATGTCGAATCATACCCTTCTTTTTCATTTAGAATGAGTCGATCCACGTGGTTATGTGTCGACCCATGTTACTGTTTTTTTTCCTCTATCACCATTCTTTTGCATGTATCAGTCAGTTTTCAACATATAAATGATAAAAATAAACAACAAGGAAATGATTAACTTCAAGAGTAGTGATTACTTCATCTTATCTTCAGAAATAAACCAAAAATGATGTATGGAAAATGCAAGGTTAAGATGACTTACCTTGCAACTGCTCTTTAGGTTTTGAGTCTGAAACCCTTCAAGATGTTGTGTAGACCTTGATGAAACTCCAGGAAGCTGCTAGACTTCCCTGTGTGTTGCAAGTTGCTGAACCAACCCCAAACAATCAAGTTTATGTAGTACTGTCTTTTGTTTAGAAGTTGAGAATAAGAGCACTACAAAATTTTTCTTGAGCTTGAGCAATATCTATGTGATATGAAGTGTTTCGAGGGTTTATGGGAGAGTTTACAAGGATGTATAATAATGGGTTGAGGATCTTTTCTGTTTTGGTGAGTTAAAACAGTGTTGAAGATAAACAAAATTTTTATGGATTTACTGGGTTTTTATGAATGAGCTGGGTTTTATGAATGAGCAGAGTTTAACAAAAGTTCTGTTTTTTCTCTTCTCTCCTCTTTTCTCAGAAAAAATCCCACTATGTCTTATGAAACAACCCCTTTTGTAATCCCTTGACTGAGGTTTAGGAGAGAAACAAAATAAGTTATTTTGAATTGTTTTTGCCTACTACTTTGATACTTTTCCACACAATTTTATTTTGCCATTTTGGCGCAATTTTATGACCGTTATGATGCAGGTTGGAGAAGACTGCATAAAGCAGTTTTAGACTGGTTTTCTGGACAGATTTTGGACTTTGTAGGACAGTATATACAGGTTTTGTGACAGGTTTGTGGTGCAGCATAGCACAAGGTTTTGTAGGACAGCAATTGAGTAAGGTTTTGGAGTGTTGTGGCAATGCATAAAAGTAGCATATTTTTTGTTTAGCAATAACTTGGACAACATAGTTTGCAGCATGAAACAAGTTTGGTTTGTGGAGCAATTTATGCACATTATATCAAAGACAAAGCATTGTGGCAAGGTTTTGAGTCAAAGGAAAAAGTCCAAGAAATACAAATTTTAGGATTTGTAAACTTGCAAAAATGCCACTTTGTAATAACTTGAATTATTTGTAACATCTTGAACTATTTTTAATTGTAGTGACAAGATGTCATGAAGCAATGAACTTAACTTAGAAAAATTTCCAAGTCTTGCAAAAGTTGGATTCTTGATTTTCTTGATTTTTGATGATCAAATTTTATATTTTGGATGTCTTGGTGAAATATGATTTTTGGGACTCAACTTTGGTCAAAAAGTCAAAGTTTGACTTTTTAGTGTACAGTTGACTTTTTCACCAGTTGACCGGATTTTGTCTATCAATCCACTAATCTCAGGAGACGAATTGAAAAACGCAATTAGGTCAAAATGACGCACTCGGATCCTTGAGATCATACTTCCAACCAATAACCCAGGTATTAGGTCAAAAATCAAAGTTCGATCATTTTCAGTAAAAACCCTAATTTCGCCCATTTTGCCCTTTTGGTACTTTGAATGACTTTCTTGGAAAATTGTGATCCAAGACTTAAAACTTGACAAAAATACTCCCGAGGGTCCATAATGATCCATGAAAGTTAATCGAAACATCATGAATCCCACAACCTTTGTACAAACTCAAACCCTAACTTAAGGTATCAGTGTTGAGGAAAATGTTTGACCTAGTCGATACTTGCGCAAACTTGAGGCATTGAAGATCTTTGTAGGAAATATCTTGAGAAATGAGAGGGAAAATTTTGGGGTACAACAGCTTCCCCTGTTCAATCTTCTTAAACCTGAAGAGTGAGATTGGCGAATCTGCCATTCGTGACTTAAAGGTGGAAGATGATTGAACACTAGAGTGCCTAGAAACTTGCACTCGATGATGTGGTGGTTGATTTTGCAGGAAATGGGCTTAAAGATGCCATTTGGAGATATGATGGAGAGTTGGCGGAGAAGGGCTTATAGATGTCATCCAAAGGTGATTGTCGACAGAGATTAGACTAAGTCTAAACTTGACTTCAATTGGGGCAAGAATCAGAATAAACCTTAGGTCGATTTAAAATTGAACCCAACAAAAATCTTGAATAATATTTAACTGGGAAGAATCAAGATAAATCTTTGGAGAGATTTATCTGAGCCAGAGAAATAGTCTTATTTGGAAAGAATCAGGATAAACCGTTGAGAGGTTTAAACTGAACCAAAAGAGGTCTTGGGTATTCTTTAACTGAAGAGAATTAGAATAAATTTTGGAGCGATTTATTTGAACCAGAGAAAGTGTCTACTGGGGAAGAATCAGGATAAACCGTTGAGATATTTAAACTGGACCAACATGGGTCTAGAAAAGAATCAGAATAAATCTTGGAGCGACTTATCTGAACCAAAGCAAGTGTCTACTGGGGAAGAATCAGGATAAACTATTGAGAGATTTAAACTAAACCAATAGGGGTCTGGAAAAGAATCAGAATAAATCTTGGAGCGACTTATCTGAACCAGAGCAAGTGTCTATTGGGGAAGGATCAGGATAAACCGTTGAGAGATTTAAACTGAACCAACAGGGGTCTGGAAAAGAATCAGAATAAATATTAGAGCGACTTATCTGAACCAGAGAAGATGTCTGTGGGACAGAATCAGGATAAATCATTGAGAGATTTAAACTGATTCAGCAGGGGTCTGGAAAAGAATCAGAATAAATCTTGGAGCGACTTATCTGAACCATAGCAAGTGTCTACTGGGGAAGAATCAGGATAAACAATTGAGAGATTTAAACTGAACCAGCAAGGGTCTGGAAAAGAATCAGAATAAATCTTGGAGCGACTTATCTAAACCAAAGCAAGTGTCTACTGGGGAAGAATCAGGATAAACCGTTGACAGATTTAAACTGAACCAGCGGGGGTCTGGAAAATAATCAGAATAAATCTTAGAGCGACTTATCTGAACCAGAGAAGATGTATGCGAGACATAATCAAGATAAACTATTCAGAGATTTAAACTGAACCAGCAGGGGTCTGGAAAAGAATCAGAATAAATCTTGGAACGACTTATTTGAACCAGAGAAGATGTCTGTGAGACAGAATCAGGATAAACCGTTGAGAGATTTAAACTGAACCAACAAGGGTCTGTAAAAGAATCATAATAAGTCTTGGAGCGATT